TTTAACTGTTATGTTGTATGCAAATGTCAGAAAACTGCCAATCGAAGTGAAGTCATGCCCGAGTTTTAATGTTTTTTTTAAATTCAGGTTAGAAATGTGCTTTTTTTTCGCGTACCGATAAGGAAGGTCTTTTCAACATTTTAAAATCTTTTTTTTCCGAATTTCTAATATGATTAGCTTCATTTATTATCAGTCTGTGATTCTTGATTAATCTCTCATGTTGTGAGCAAAACTAATTTCCTTGAAATAGGAGAGGTGTACTGTATTGCCCCGTGTAGATTGATCTTGTCTGTGTCCGTTTGACCAATTTTAACCGGATGTATGAAGACTATTTTCCTCTCTTTGTTCAGTGTCGCGGGGAAAGCAAATGAGGATTAGCATGACTTTACGGCACGCAACCAGCAGGAGGTAAACTATTGGCCACTAGGTGTCGCAGTGGTTGTTCGGGACTGATTAGCTTGCTCGACCGACGCTTACTTTGTGGTTGATTAGAACACTGAAAGAATTGCTGCTAGTGGTTGCGTCTTTCCATCGGAATCGTTTAATTTTTTTTTTTTAATTCACCACTTTTGAAGGGCCTTCCTGGAGCTACCGTTCCCATTTGACGAGCTGCTGCACCCAGTAACACAGCAACGTCGCACCATACTTCCAATTCGGATGACAAAATGTGAAGTTAACAGACAGGAAACACCTGCACGACAGAGTACGTCTTTGACAAGAGACCAACGGCCATCAGAAAGGCAGACCCATTGATTCGGCAGAAGGGAATACGTGAATGATTCCGAGCACAGCCAATTAATGTTTCCCGCTAGATCGATATCGTCATTATTAACCTTACGTTTATTGAAGCGGTTATTGTCTTGATACAAAGTACACATAAAGTCACTGCAGTAACTGTTTTGTTGGTTGATGTAATATGACATGAAATGTATGCCACCGCGTTTTAACAAACATTCAATAATCATATCGATAAATGAATGACGTCAACCACATCCAAATTATCTTTATCCAGATTTGTCTGCGTTCGTCTCGCTTTCCCTTCACGATTCCAGAGGGTTCTGGAAGAAGTTGACGTCAATATTTAGTAATGTGACCGTACTTGCCTTCACAATAAGTGCATTCCTCCGTTCGAAGTCCACTCCTATTTCTTTTGTTTTGAAGGCACCAACAGGAATTTGCACTTGTTTGTGACGTAATTGACAGAAAAGTCTGGAAATGTCCAGAATGCAAACTCGCTGGGTATAAAAGCAGCTGGGGCACAGCAAAAACTACACGAAGAACAAACATCACAAGATCCGCGGACCTCACAGTGCCCTTTTAAATGTAAGTTGATGGGTTTTTCTCTATAATTCACACTTGACTCATATTGAATGTGTTCTCTGTTGTTTAGATGTGTAACATGTTCAAATGTTGAACGTGTTGCCATATTTTACATTTTGTGATTTTTAACGTGTAGAGTTGTTATACAGGGAAATATTATCAATATTTAGTAATTGTGTTGCTGTAATGTCATTTCCCCATACAGACGATGTTGTTATAATATGTTAACATGATGTTTAATGTGCTGCTTCAATGTCGTTCCCCTCAGAGACAAACATCTTCACTGTCGGGTAAACAAAATGGTGTCAGCGAAAGGCGTCGCCATCGGCATCGACCTGGGCACCACGTACTCCTGCGTGGGTGTTTTCCAGCATGGCAAAGTGGAGATCATCGCCAACGACCAGGGCAACAGAACCACGCCCAGCTATGTGGCGTTCACCGACACAGAGAGGCTCATCGGTGACGCCGCCAAGAACCAGGTGGCGTTGAACCCGAGCAACACGGTGTTTGACGCCAAGAGACTGATCGGAAGGAGGTTCGACGATCCGGTGGTGCAAGCGGACACGAAGCACTGGCCCTTCAAGGTGGTCGCCGACGGAGGGAAGGCGAAAATCCAAGTGCAGCACAAAGGGGAGGAGAAGGCCTTCTACCCAGAAGAGATCTCCTCCATGGTGCTGGTCAAAATGAAGGAGACGGCCGAAGCCTACCTGGGTCAACGGGTGTCCAGCGCCGTGGTAACGGTCCCCGCTTACTTTAACGACTCCCAACGCCAGGCCACCAAAGATGCGGGTGTCATCGCGGGACTGAACATCCTCAGGATCATTAATGAGCCCACGGCGGCGGCCATCGCTTACGGTCTGGACAAAAGCCAGTCGGGAGAACGCAACATCCTCATCTTTGACCTGGGAGGCGGCACCTTCGACGTGTCCGTCCTGACCATCGAGGGCGGCATCTTCGAGGTCAAAGCCACCGCCGGGGATACACATCTGGGCGGAGAGGACTTTGACAACCGCATGGTGGAGCACTTTGTCGCCGAGTTCAAGAGGAAGCACAAGAAAGACATCGGCCAGAACAAGAGGGCCTTGAGGAGGCTGCGTACCGCCTGCGAGAGGGCCAAGAGGACGCTGTCCTCCAGCTCCCAGGCCAACGTGGAGATCGACTCCCTCTTTGAGGGCCTGGACTTCTACACCGCCATCACCAGGGCTCGCTTTGAGGAGCTGTGCTCCGACCTGTTCAGGGGAACTCTGGAGCCGGTGGAGAAAGCCCTGAGGGACGCCAAGATGGACAAGGGCCAGATCCACGACGTGGTTCTAGTTGGCGGCTCCACACGGATTCCCAGAATCCAGAAGCTCCTGCGGGACTTTTTCAACGGCAAAGAGCTGAATAAGAGCATCACCCCCGACGAGGCGGTGGCTTACGGCGCGGCCGTTCAGGCCGCCATCCTCACGGGGGACACCTCGGGCAACGTCCAGGACCTGCTGCTGCTCGACGTGGCGCCTCTGTCACTGGGCATCGAGACCGCCGGAGGGGTCATGACGCCGCTCATCAAACGCAACACCACCATTCCCACTAAGCAAACGCAAATCTTCAGCACCTACTCGGACAACCAGCCCGGCGTCCTCATCCAGGTCTTGGAGGGCGAGAGGGCCATGACCAAGGACAACAACCTCCTGGGAAAGTTTGAGCTGAGCGGAATCCCGCCGGCTCCACGAGGCGTGCCGCAGATCGAGGTCACCTTCGACCTGGACGCCGACGGCATCTTGAACGTGTCGGCGGTGGACAAAAGCACCGGCAAGGAGAACAAAATCACCATAACCAACGACAAAGGCCGTCTGAGCAAAGAGGAGATCGAGAAGATGGTGGACGACGCCCAAAAGTACAAAGCCGAGGATGACCTGCAGCGGGACAAGATTGCTGCCAAGAACGCTTTGGAGTCGTACGCCTTCAACGTGAAGAGCAGCGTCCAGGATGAGAAGCTGGCGGCCAAGTTGAGCGAGGAGGATCAGAAGACTCTGACGGACAAGTGTGACCAGACCCTCCGCTGGCTGGAGAACAACCAGCTGGCTGACACGGACGAGTTCCAGCACAAGCAGAAGGAGCTGGAACGAGTGTGTCAGCCAATCATCAGCAAGCTGTATCAGGGGGCGGGGCCTGCGGGAAGCTGCGGGGCGCAGGCCAGGGCTGCCGCCCAGGGGCCCACCATTGAAGAGGTGGACTGATCACCTCTGTCGCCTCTCAGACTCCAAGACAGTTTTAAAATAATATAGCTATTTTCAATGTTGTAACTCTTCATCTTGTCAACTCTTGTCATGTACTAAATGCGTTTTATCAATAAATTCTACAAAATTTGTAAAGATGGGGTGTGTGCGCTTGCCTGCGTGTTCCCATACAATACAAGCAGTGACCTCATGGTGGGGCTAATTTTTGGATGTTGCTGCTCCACTGGATTTTGTGCATCTAACCCGTATTGACAACAGAGGAGGTTGTGGGTTCGTTTTCCTGTTGAGCACAATCTGGTCAAGAGCCAGACGAGTCGGACCCGTCCACTGAGCTAAACCAAAATGGATACAGAGAAGAAAACATCGACACATACATCTCATCAAACACAACTGCTGTACATCATAGAAAACAAAGGTCTAGCATAACCTCCATCATCACGTTAGAAAACCCCCTCAGCAAAATATGAACTAACAGCAGAACAATGCATCAAATAACATTAGAGAACTTAAAAAAAAAAAAACAGTAAACACAGTCAAAGAACACGATACGTCGAAGAACACAGTATCCAAGACACCGAACAACAAATCAAAATTAATGTTACGGAAAAGACACAACGTCAAAGACAAATTTGTGGTTGGCGAGTCCTCTGACCAGAAGAACTGGGAATAGCGATGTAAAATAAGAAAAATAGTGAAGAGACTATGTGAAGTGCTGGAGTGTCACGTTGCCATGGTGACCGCCACAAACAGTCACACAGTACGGTGAGTCAAATTGAAAGACAAACATTTGGATCATCAGATCCGCAGTCTCAATCTATCCCTTTGTCTTTCTGTCCATCTATCTGTCTATATGTCACTCTTTATGTTAACCATTCCCTTTCCATCGCCTTCTTTAAAAGAATCGTTTCAGCTGTCAGCTCGAAGAATGATTCGTGGCAAATATGTTGTGTCTGGACCAGCCTAAAATTTCCCTCCTCCAACATACCTGATTCAAATGGTCAGAATCATTATCAGGCTCCTGCAGAGTTTCCTGATAAGCTGGTCAATTGAATCAGATGTGTTGAAGGAGCGAGACATCTAAAACTGGCTGAATAGAGGCACTTGCAAACTATCATCCTGCAGGCCACAAACTGCCCACGGGCCACAACTTGAGACTCCTGCCCTTAAAAACGGATTACGGCAACAGTCGACATTAAATATTATTCAACTCCCGTTCAATAATTTTCGAGTGTACTAAAGACACAGAGGTCTTCACTCACTTGTCCTACTTTTGTCACAAGTTGCAATTGTGTCCTTTCACAAAGCTTAGCTTTTGCGTGATACGAACAGTTTAGAAATCTGCGATTTCTTTTCTTGAATCGGAATTTCATCGTGGTAAAATAATAGTTATTTCTTGTCCCAGTTATTTGTTGTTGTTGTTGTTTTTTTTTTTTTTTAATATGATGGTGTTGGTGCTTTAAGGAGCACCTGTCATCCCAGCATCCTTTGCGTGTCCAATATGGAAGAACTGGAGGTGGAGGTTCGCGGCTCCAACGGGGCTTTTTACAAGGTAAATGTCGGCTTATTATTACGCGACCGCTATATCATAGTGTCCCGCGTTGCAGTGTGTTAGCTGGCACATCGAGGACGGATTTTTTTTCGGGCGACAAGTTGTAACCTTCAATGTTTGCTAGTGACCGGCATTAGCTTCGCTAGCTACAACTAGCTAGTTAAGCTAGCACTGCCGCCGAATCTTCGTCACTTCTTCGGCATCTTATTTTTTGTTACAGCGCCCAAGAAACATAATGATGGTCCACAACCTCGCCTTCATTTCTCCTCGGTGACATTTTTTGCAAGGGTGCTGCTGAACCGTGTTTTGAGTTAGCCAACTTGAGCCGCTGACGTCAAAGAATGAAGTCACAGAGGAGTTTGGGCGTGCTTCGTGTGTTACGGTGATATTTGATGCTAACGGAAGCGGCATCCGTTATCCTCAATTTGCGCTAAAGGTTCGTCAAAGCCTAATTGTGAACTTGGAACGACGGTAACGTTAAGCTCTACAGCCGCGCAGCCACCTCTTTTCTGAAGAACGTCGAAGCTATTTTTTTTTTGTGTGTGTATGTGCGTGTGAGCCAGTTGCTTCTTGTCAGTCATGAGCAGCTGACGGAAGAGTGGACGGTGGCCCCTGATACTGAAACCCTCAATGCTATTTCGAGACGAGCGACCAGAGTAAAATTGCCGTCTGCCGCCCCGCTTTCGTGGCAACCCCTCCTCGTTCTGCTCGAACCGATCATGACTGAGCAATTCGATTTGGATCGTTTTCATTCCGTGTTACTAAAAAAAAAAGTCATGGTACGAGAAAGGGAATATCTGACCTCCCCGTTCGCGTATTCGACGAGCAGAGTAGTTGACAAAAATCCAGAATAGGTGATTTAAAATAATCCCCTGCTCATGTTTTCAACTCCCAGGCTCTCTGGCTTCCTATCGTGTCCAGAAACCTGGATTCTGAAGACTCACTTGCCCAGAGGTGTAAATGAGAACTGATATCGGATCAGAGTGTGAATGCTTATCTCTTAATGGAATGACTTGGTTGAATGGTTGAACTGTTTAGGCGTTGACATGAATTAAAAAAAAAAATCTCTCTCGCCTCAACAATTTCAAATCATTTTTATTTGTGTGAATTCAAACAATTACTACAATGATACTCCTTGTAATAATTTAAAAAAGAAAAAAGCATTTGTTAACACAGAAAAAAAACGTGTAAGATTTTTAAACACCACGAGTAATTTTATACATATTCATTCGTTTACAAAAGATTCATTGTTCATTATTTAAGACTTGGGTTTGTTTAAAATCTCAGTGACTAGGTCACGTTTGACATCCCGGCCACTAGAATGGAGGATGGAAGCCAAGCGATGTGATTCAGTCTTGTCACCAAATGGAGCACTGATTGTCATGTGGTAAAATGGCAACGTGATTTCACCCCATCAGTCTAGTTGATATCTGTCGGCTTTTATTGATGGGTAGAAAGCCCACATTGTTTAGATGTTTATATTTATTAAGGTTTGATGAGTTGAGGGTTTTTTTCCCCTCTTTGTTAGTAATGTCCCATTGTGCTTGAAATTATTTTTGTTCCCTAAAATTCACAATACAGTACTGGCTCTAGTTCTTGGTGCATCACTAATTACTTGGGAAGAAAAATGTCGTGCGTGAATACCATTCGGTTTCAGTCTTGTTTTTTGGTTCTTGAGTCATCTTAAATATTTACTGGTTTGACTTGTCATGGCTGTATGTGCACTTAAAAAAAAAAGAAAGAAAACATGACTCAGAAGATAGTAAGGACTCAATGGGGCTCATATTTTATTGTTTTATAGTAGGTCATAATATTTTGTTCTCGTTGAGTAACGCATTCACGTGTGTTTGTATTTTGACAGGGCTTAGTCAGAGACATCCACAATGATTCTCTCACTATTGCCTTTGAGAACAAGTGAGTTTGTGATTTCCGGCGGCCGTCTGTGTGCGCTGCGCATTTTTTTTGAAGCGATTGTTTGTTTGTTTGTTTTTCAGTTGGCAACCAGAACGCCAGGTGCCCTTCAGCGATGTCCGGATGCCACCCCCTGCTGACGCCAAGAAGGAGATTCGAGAGGGTGAGGAAGTGGAGGTATGGACGAGTCACTTCGATGTACTTGCTTTCTTCCCGCTTTTACTGTCTGGTAGTGTCTTCATCTTCATATCTTATGATCTGGGCAGATCCTTTCCAGGGCCAATGATGTGGAACCTTGTGGTTGGTGGCTGGCTAAAGTCTGCATGACGAAAGGCGATGTGAGTTTTGCTTGACCTCGCGCCCCATGTTGACTGGACCCATTTTGTATCGTCGCCCAAAAACTGACACCGTGATCGACGAACTAAAATATTCATCAGTTGTTTTCTTTGCTCACTGATCTTGTATCCCCCCCCCCAGTTCTTTGTCATCGAGTATGCGGCCTGTGATGCCGTCTACAACGAGATTGTGACATTTGAGCGCTTGCGCCCGGTCAACACCAACAAGGCAATCACCAGTAATTACTTTCACAAGTGCACGATCGCTGTCCCGCAAGATCTGCAAGAAGCGTGAGTACCACAGGAGTGCAGTGGACAAATTTCTTTCGGAACAAATGAAGACTTGCATATTTATACGCGCAACCCTTGTATTGTGTTCGAAAGCTGTTCCCGTCTGTTGCTAACCTGAAAACGGGTCCTTTTTAAGGGTGCCGTCACACATTTTGAGCATGACAACCTAATTAGAAGTTGTGCGGAAATACTGAGGCGCTAACTTTGCCACGAATGGTGACGTTTTGCAAAATCAAACACGTAGGGCTGCTCGATTATGAAAAAATATCAGTCACGATTATTTTGGTGATCTTTGAGATCGCGATGATTCAATCGATTGCATATTTTTGCGGGGGGTACAAAACAAGACGATGTTTCATGTTACATGGAGGCTAATCAAATTCTTTGGAACACTGAAATGATGCACGTTCCTTTTGGATCAAACGACATTTTTTTTAGGTTTTTAGGTTTTTTTTCCCCACCAAATTAAAGTGCAAATGTATACATGAAGTCATTTGGCAATTGAGGAGCGCTGTTTGTTTTCAATGAGTTGTCGCTAGTCTTCTCGAATTAAGAACTAAGCAACTTAAGTTCTGCTTGTGCTGATCCGTTTCAGGTGTCAAACCGAGAATGCGCATAAAGACTTTAAGAAAGCTGTGGAAGCCTGTCAAGTCTCCTACTGTGCCGAGACCAGCCAGTTGGTCATTGTGGTAATGAACTTTCTTCCCTTCTCTCGGACCGGATGGCAATGTCTTCATACCATGTCTGCAATTCCCATGTCACATCCACACGAACACAGCTTAGGCTGCCATTAATCCTGATCAATTATTATTATTTTTTTGTCGCTCTCTCATTCTAGTCCACCAACGAGTCCACGGTGAAGCGTGTGTCTTTGCTGAGTGACATGCACCTCCGCAGCCTCCGAACCAAGCTGATGCTCATGTCCCGCAACCAGGAAGCTACAAAACACCTCGAGGTCAGTTGCTGGCCATTGCGAACTCTGCGGCGGCGATTGGAGAAGGCTGAAGGATTTCAACGCTTGGATCGACCTCACTAATTTTGCTTGTTTGTTTGTTTGTTTAGAACTCCCGGCACCTGGTGTCATCCTTCCAGGAAGAGTTCACGGTGAGGCCTGATTTGATGGGGCTGGCCATCGGCAGTCACGGCAGTAACATTCAGCAAGCGCGAAAAGTTCCAGGGGTCACCGCCATCGATTTGGACGAGGAGACCGGTACCTTCAGAATTTATGGAGAGGTAGTGTTCTTTTCAAAAAGTTGGGGGCTGGCATGGATACAAGCATGAGCTACATCGCTTTTTTTTTTTTGGAGGGGGGTGGGTCTGGTTTTCTTTCATTCGATGATAAAAATGTCATTTCCTCCGGAACGTGTTCCTTGTCGATCTCGTTGTATTCAACACCTAAATCGTATATCGCACGATTTTCCAATATCGCGCACATCCAATATCTTGTTTTTGTCTTTGGTTGAATCGAGATTGAAAAGGATTTGCAAATGGTTGTATTAGTATTTTACGGAACGGAATCAGGCTTTGTATGCTCCAAAGGCCATCCTGTGAAGAACATTTGTTTTGGCGATTGGGCCAGACGGTCTTCTACAAGTTCAACTTCATCGTCAAAGTCACGTGGTCTCGGCCGGTTTTGTCACCTGGATGTTTTGACATTTTCCTTGTTCGTTTGTGCAAAAAAGCTCTCCTGTTTTGGTTTTCCAGACGGCAGAAGCAGTGAAAAAGGCAAGGAACTACCTCGAGTACTAAAGACACAGAGGTCTTCACTCACTTGTCCTACTTTTGTCACAAGTTGCAATTGTGTCCTTTCACAAAGCTTAGCTTTTGCGTGATACGAACAGTTTAGAAATCTGCGATTTCTTTTCTTGAATCGGAATTTCATCGTGGTAAAATAATAGTTATTTCTTGTCCCAGTTATTTGTTGTTGTTGTTGTTTTTTTTTTTTTTTTAATATGATGGTGTTGGTGCTTTAAGGAGCACCTGTCATCCCAGCATCCTTTGCGTGTCCAATATGGAAGAACTGGAGGTGGAGGTTCGCGGCTCCAACGGGGCTTTTTACAAGGTAAATGTCGGCTTATTATTACGCGACCGCTATATCATAGTGTCCCGCGTTGCAGTGTGTTAGCTGGCACATCGAGGACGGATTTTTTTTCGGGCGACAAGTTGTAACCTTCAATGTTTGCTAGTGACCGGCATTAGCTTCGCTAGCTACAACTAGCTAGTTAAGCTAGCACTGCCGCCGAATCTTCGTCACTTCTTCGGCATCTTATTTTTTGTTACAGCGCCCAAGAAACATAATGATGGTCCACAACCTCGCCTTCATTTCTCCTCGGTGACATTTTTTGCAAGGGTGCTGCTGAACCGTGTTTTGAGTTAGCCAACTTGAGCCGCTGACGTCAAAGAATGAAGTCACAGAGGAGTTTGGGCGTGCTTCGTGTGTTACGGTGATATTTGATGCTAACGGAAGCGGCATCCGTTATCCTCAATTTGCGCTAAAGGTTCGTCAAAGCCTAATTGTGAACTTGGAACGACGGTAACGTTAAGCTCTACAGCCGCGCAGCCACCTCTTTTCTGAAGAACGTCGAAGCTATTTTTTTTTTGTGTGTGTATGTGCGTGTGAGCCAGTTGCTTCTTGTCAGTCATGAGCAGCTGACGGAAGAGTGGACGGTGGCCCCTGATACTGAAACCCTCAATGCTATTTCGAGACGAGCGACCAGAGTAAAATTGCCGTCTGCCGCCCCGCTTTCGTGGCAACCCCTCCTCGTTCTGCTCGAACCGATCATGACTGAGCAATTCGATTTGGATCGTTTTCATTCCGTGTTACTAAAAAAAAAAGTCATGGTACGAGAAAGGGAATATCTGACCTCCCCGTTCGCGTATTCGACGAGCAGAGTAGTTGACAAAAATCCAGAATAGGTGATTTAAAATAATCCCCTGCTCATGTTTTCAACTCCCAGGCTCTCTGGCTTCCTATCGTGTCCAGAAACCTGGATTCTGAAGACTCACTTGCCCAGAGGTGTAAATGAGAACTGATATCGGATCAGAGTGTGAATGCTTATCTCTTAATGGAATGACTTGGTTGAATGGTTGAACTGTTTAGGCGTTGACATGAATTAAAAAAAAAAATCTCTCTCGCCTCAACAATTTCAAATCATTTTTATTTGTGTGAATTCAAACAATTACTACAATGATACTCCTTGTAATAATTTAAAAAAGAAAAAAGCATTTGTTAACACAGAAAAAAAACGTGTAAGATTTTTAAACACCACGAGTAATTTTATACATATTCATTCGTTTACAAAAGATTCATTGTTCATTATTTAAGACTTGGGTTTGTTTAAAATCTCAGTGACTAGGTCACGTTTGACATCCCGGCCACTAGAATGGAGGATGGAAGCCAAGCGATGTGATTCAGTCTTGTCACCAAATGGAGCACTGATTGTCATGTGGTAAAATGGCAACGTGATTTCACCCCATCAGTCTAGTTGATATCTGTCGGCTTTTATTGATGGGTAGAAAGCCCACATTGTTTAGATGTTTATATTTATTAAGGTTTGATGAGTTGAGGGTTTTTTTCCCCTCTTTGTTAGTAATGTCCCATTGTGCTTGAAATTATTTTTGTTCCCTAAAATTCACAATACAGTACTGGCTCTAGTTCTTGGTGCATCACTAATTACTTGGGAAGAAAAATGTCGTGCGTGAATACCATTCGGTTTCAGTCTTGTTTTTTGGTTCTTGAGTCATCTTAAATATTTACTGGTTTGACTTGTCATGGCTGTATGTGCACTTAAAAAAAAAAAAAAGAAAACATGACTCAGAAGATAGTAAGGACTCAATGGGGCTCATATTTTATTGTTTTATAGTAGGTCATAATATTTTGTTCTCGTTGAGTAACGCATTCACGTGTGTTTGTATTTTGACAGGGCTTAGTCAGAGACATCCACAATGATTCTCTCACTATTGCCTTTGAGAACAAGTGAGTTTGTGATTTCCGGCGGCCGTCTGTGTGCGCTGCGCATTTTTTTTGAAGCGATTGTTTGTTTGTTTGTTTTTCAGTTGGCAACCAGAACGCCAGGTGCCCTTCAGCGATGTCCGGATGCCACCCCCTGCTGACGCCAAGAAGGAGATTCGAGAGGGTGAGGAAGTGGAGGTATGGACGAGTCACTTCGATGTACTTGCTTTCTTCCCGCTTTTACTGTCTGGTAGTGTCTTCATCTTCATATCTTATGATCTGGGCAGATCCTTTCCAGGGCCAATGATGTGGAACCTTGTGGTTGGTGGCTGGCTAAAGTCTGCATGACGAAAGGCGATGTGAGTTTTGCTTGACCTCGCGCCCCATGTTGACTGGACCCATTTTGTATCGTCGCCCAAAAACTGACACCGTGATCGACGAACTAAAATATTCATCAGTTGTTTTCTTTGCTCACTGATCTTGTATCCCCCCCCCCAGTTCTTTGTCATCGAGTATGCGGCCTGTGATGCCGTCTACAACGAGATTGTGACATTTGAGCGCTTGCGCCCGGTCAACACCAACAAGGCAATCACCAGTAATTACTTTCACAAGTGCACGATCGCTGTCCCGCAAGATCTGCAAGAAGCGTGAGTACCACAGGAGTGCAGTGGACAAATTTCTTTCGGAACAAATGAAGACTTGCATATTTATACGCGCAACCCTTGTATTGTGTTCGAAAGCTGTTCCCGTCTGTTGCTAACCTGAAAACGGGTCCTTTTTAAGGGTGCCGTCACACATTTTGAGCATGACAACCTAATTAGAAGTTGTGCGGAAATACTGAGGCGCTAACTTTGCCACGAATGGTGACGTTTTGCAAAATCAAACACGTAGGGCTGCTCGATTATGAAAAAATATCAGTCACGATTATTTTGGTGATCTTTGAGATCGCGATGATTCAATCGATTGCATATTTTTGCGGGGGGTACAAAACAAGACGATGTTTCATGTTACATGGAGGCTAATCAAATTCTTTGGAACACTGAAATGATGCACGTTCCTTTTGGATCAAACGACATTTTTTTTAGGTTTTTAGGTTTTTTTTCCCCACCAAATTAAAGTGCAAATGTATACATGAAGTCATTTGGCAATTGAGGAGCGCTGTTTGTTTTCAATGAGTTGTCGCTAGTCTTCTCGAATTAAGAACTAAGCAACTTAAGTTCTGCTTGTGCTGATCCGTTTCAGGTGTCAAACCGAGAATGCGCATAAAGACTTTAAGAAAGCTGTGGAAGCCTGTCAAGTCTCCTACTGTGCCGAGACCAGCCAGTTGGTCATTGTGGTAATGAACTTTCTTCCCTTCTCTCGGACCGGATGGCAATGTCTTCATACCATGTCTGCAATTCCCATGTCACATCCACACGAACACAGCTTAGGCTGCCATTAATCCTGATCAATTATTATTATTTTTTTGTCGCTCTCTCATTCTAGTCCACCAACGAGTCCACGGTGAAGCGTGTGTCTTTGCTGAGTGACATGCACCTCCGCAGCCTCCGAACCAAGCTGATGCTCATGTCCCGCAACCAGGAAGCTACAAAACACCTCGAGGTCAGTTGCTGGCCATTGCGAACTCTGCGGCGGCGATTGGAGAAGGCTGAAGGATTTCAACGCTTGGATCGACCTCACTAATTTTGCTTGTTTGTTTGTTTGTTTAGAACTCCCGGCACCTGGTGTCATCCTTCCAGGAAGAGTTCACGGTGAGGCCTGATTTGATGGGGCTGGCCATCGGCAGTCACGGCAGTAACATTCAGCAAGCGCGAAAAGTTCCAGGGGTCACCGCCATCGATTTGGACGAGGAGACCGGTACCTTCAGAATTTATGGAGAGGTAGTGTTCTTTTCAAAAAGTTGGGGGCTGGCATGGATACAAGCATGAGCTACATCGCTTTTTTTTTTTTGGAGGGGGGTGGGTCTGGTTTTCTTTCATTCGATGATAAAAATGTCATTTCCTCCGGAACGTGTTCCTTGTCGATCTCGTTGTATTCAACACCTAAATCGTATATCGCACGATTTTCCAATATCGCGCACATCCAATATCTTGTTTTTGTCTTTGGTTGAATCGAGATTGAAAAGGATTTGCAAATGGTTGTATTAGTATTTTACGGAACGGAATCAGGCTTTGTATGCTCCAAAGGCCATCCTGTGAAGAACATTTGTTTTGGCGATTGGGCCAGACGGTCTTCTACAAGTTCAACTTCATCGTCAAAGTCACGTGGTCTCGGCCGGTTTTGTCACCTGGATGTTTTGACATTTTCCTTGTTCGTTTGTGCAAAAAAGCTCTCCTGTTTTGGTTTTCCAGACGGCAGAAGCAGTGAAAAAGGCAAGGAACTACCTCGAGTTTCTGGAGGATTCTGTCCAAGTACCAAGAAACCTTGTTGGTATGTACACATCCTTGGAAATGGATGTTTAGCTCACCCCCTCACCTCCCTTTTAACATTTTTTTTTCTTTTGAGCATCGCTTAATAGCGGCAATGATGGTTACTGGAAAGATTTTTCAATGCAGGAAATCTGCAATCGGCTCACCTGTTGTCTGCCCTTAGGGAAAGTCATCGGTAAGAATGGAAAAGTCATTCAGGAGATTGTGGACAAGTCCGGAGTGGTGCGGGTCAGGATCGAAGGAGACAATGACAACAAGCAACCACGACAAGAAGTGAGCCGCGTTCTTGTTGTTTATTTCTTTTCTTTGTTTTTTTTTATTTTTTTATTTTTAGCTCCTCACTGAGCAATTGTCACATTTCTTTCCACGCTGGATTTGGTGGCATTGCCTGACATATACTGACCTGCACGTTGTGCTCGTTTGGTTTTGTTGACACAGGGAATGGTCCCCTTTACCTTTGTCGGCACGAAGGAGAGCATTGGGAATGTCCAGGTCTTGCTGGAGTACCACATCTCGTACCTCAATGTAAGGGCATGCTTGGGTGTGTGTGTGTTGCACAAGTCACACAGGATGTGTAGAAATGGAAATGCTTTTCCCCCCTTAACACCAAATACTTTTTATTTATTTATTTATTTTTTTAAATCATGTTTCTTTTTTTTTCCCTCCATACATTGGATCTGATCTGCCCAACTAGGAGGTTGAACAACTTCGTCTGGAGCGGATGCAGATTGATGAACAGTTGCGGCAGCTCACGCAGGGCCACCGACCCGGAGAGAGGAGCGAGCGCGGAGGAGCAGGAGGGGGAGCAGGAGGAGGATATAACGCAGACGGCGGCACCAACGCCTCGTCGTCCTCGTCGCATGTCGGGCGCTCCTACAACAGTCGAGGTCGTGGGCGCAGAGGCCACGGCTACAGTACCGGATACGGTAGGCACGCCGAGCTGGTGGCGGATGCGACAGTATCGCCTGTGGGCTCCCATTGACGACGTTCATGATTTTTTTTTTTTTTTTTTAAATCCTCTAAATCAGGGGTGCCCAACCTTTTTTGACCAAAGCTCTACTTTTCAAGCAACCAACCTACTGCGATCGACCCGTTAAGCGCACGTGCACGCATACACACGATACGATAGTTTGTGAAAAGGAAATCACCGCCTATCTTCGTGGGAGATGCGATGGGTCGCACTTTTGCGGCGTCATAAGTGCAGAAACTATCGTACGTATGTGGGTGGCGAACAACTTCCGGTGGTGCAGATCATGGGCCGGCATGGGTTCAAGGTGATCTGCTTTTTTTTTTTTGATTCTATATTTTTTAAATACTGTTTTTGTGTAAGTGAAACTCATAGGATGCTTCGGGTTCAGTGTGCAGGAACACAAAAATCGATCCAGTCAAATCAATAACACGCACCCAGACGCACATGTTTTCCCGGGCTAGCGGTCGATCGCGATGGACGTATTGGGCACCCCTGCTCGAAAGCATGCTCGCGAAGACTCTCGTGTCTGGCCACTTCTGTAATTTTTTTCCCCCCCGTATTGCAGGATGTCTGTTTGCCTATGATTCGTGGTGTGTGTATGAGGGAACGTGGATGAAATGAGCCCGCGGAGCTACAGTCGTCTATTTCCTCTCTACTCGGTGTAATTTGCGCACGACTCCGTAGCGCAGGAACTCAGTGCAACATTGTGCTTCTGCCAGGCACCAACTCGGAGCACTCCAATGCATCCGAGACCGACTCGGAGCGTCGAGATGAAGTCGGCGACTGGTCTCAAGCTGCTGAGGAGCAAATGAGGCGAGTCCTAACTTCTGTCAAGCGTCGTCTTCTGGACTGTGTGTGTCTCTTGCTTATGCTCGCTTGGTATGAATATTATTGCTCATGTTGGCTGATTATTTACACTTGAGTTGACCCTCTCTTTTCATTGGACTTTAGCTTGTTAGCTCCTCAAAAGTTGGTTTCAGATGAATTTTCTTGTCACTCACCCGATTCTGACTGCAGGCAGCACTTCGGTTTCAGTGGTATTTGTGCGTTACACCATTTTGTCTTCAATATGAGTCATTCAAAGTTTTCCACGATGTTTCCAAATCATTAGATTTTTGGAAAGATTTTAAAAATCCTGGAAAGACCTTTTCCATGACCTACCAAATCCTGTGATATTTCAGTTAAGCCTCTGATTGCATGATCCATTCCG